ACGTCATGTAGAGCTGGGGAATGTCTCATTTTAATCAGAAATGTGCGCGCTACAATTATATCTTATTTAAAAATGTTTTGGTAATTTTTTAAAGTTTCTGAAAAACTGGTTTTCTAGAAAACTGGTCTTCAAGAAACATTGGGAAAATGCTTTATGCCACTAGAATCAGCTCGTCGAGCTCTACAAACTGGGATATCTCCCACTCGAAACGGTGATTCACACTTGGGGACCTTCCCTCGTAAGCTAATTTCGAATATCACCTTTTGATTCGAATTTGATAAAGTTTTCGGGGAGAAATCCTCAAAAATACTGAGACGATATGAAAATCTTCAAAAACCGCCTTCTTCTGAGAAAACAACCTGAACCTTTTTACCATTCCAGTTTCTGTTCTCCCCAATGTGATTTTTGGATTCCTCATATAAAATTGAGTTTAGAAATGTTGTCTAGAGCACCATTGCATGTTACATGCCCATTCTAAAAAATCCATGAGGCAGTGTCTCTGGCGATAATAGTACCTAATTTTTGAAAACCTATCTAGGTTTTTCTGGTAAGTCATAGAACCAAACGGTGACATTCGGAATCAGCTCAGTTAGGGCTATCCGACTATGTAGCTTTCGACCGAAAATTAAAATAGTGCTGCATTTTTGAATTGCGGGCATCTTAAATATAAAGCAGAAGAAAAGATTAGAATTTTTTGCTGAACTATTGTTTAATCTAAAGATAACTATGTATTTGTTTAAAGACGTATGACTATTTGGTCCAAGGGGAAAAAGCTGATTTGGAGCTCTTTTCGATTTAGACCGATTTTGAGCGTTTTAAATGGACTTTGGCCGATTCTGTCACTCAAAATCGATTACGTTATTAGGTATTTTAACTGTAACTTTTTTCTCTTTAAGAATATAGAGTTATTTCTACCTTTTAAAGATTTGCCGCTTCATTCCCTACAAAAAATATATGGAACAATTTTTTATGTACATTAAAAATAAACAAATATAGATGAAATACTGTGAAATTTCGATTTTCATTACTTTCCAACTCAAAAAACAGCTTTTTAATTTTCAATTCTGTATTTCACCCAACGAAAAACGAGAAGATGACTATCTTGTAGCTATTAAGCCCTCCCTCCGTCAGAAATGATGATTTTCGGTCAAAAAAAAATCGGTTTTGAGATACTCATATGAAAAGATAGCCTGAAGTGTCGACTTTCAGAATCTGCATCATTTTTGGTTATAAAAGTAGTTTTTCACGGATTTTGAGCAAGTTTTCTAGGAGCCTCGAAAAACCGGGTCTTCAAATAATAGTTTTTTCCTGGATACTTAAGCAATTGAAACTTTTCTGAACGCACAACCTGTAGAGCAAACGTTTCTGATCAAAATAAGACCTCGCACAACTCTGAATGACCTTGCATCAAAAAGTTACAGACATTTTCCCGGAACGCCGATTTTTGAACTAGATCTTAGTTTTTTGTCCAATTGAGGATTTTTAGAAAACGCGAAAGGATTTTTCGGGTTTTTGAGGTTGTTGGTTGCGTGGAAAACCAGTAAAAGCTTAATTGGAAAATCAGCGCCGGTCAGACGATGTAGTTAGGTGTCTAGTTCAAAATAAAACAAACCCAAACTTTCCAGCTTGAAGTACATTAAAAAATCTTGGGACACACTTCAGGATCCTTTTTGGACTTTGATCTATGGAAAACTTCTAAACCGTAAGACTTGGAGACAAAAACAATTTATTTTCCGGTAACTCATTGTGCCGAACATTTATGGAAAGGTTTGTCAAGATCGGATGTACGATGTCGGAGATAATTTCTGAGGGGGGGGGGGCTTAGGGCACCGCTAATTCAAAGAGATAAGACTATTTTATTTTCGGTTAACTTATACATTATTCGACAGAGAATTTCATGTCTTTCCTGTCAAAGTTTCAAGGGAGAAAAACTTAAAATACCTCAAGGAGCTTAAATTTCGAAATACCGTTCCATAATAAAAAAATAGTGCAAAATCTTTTTCTGTTTTTAAGTCTCGCCAATTGCTTTTTCGGATTCTGCGTATGAACGTGACTCTAGAAATGTGATTTAAATCACATTTCTAGAGCCACTTTCATATGCAGAATCTGAAAAAGCAATTGGTGAGACTTAAAAATAGAAAAAGATTTATTATGGAACGGTTTTTTTTGAAACTTAAGCTTCTTGAAGTATTTTGAGTTTGGAAAGTAATGAAGATTGAAATTTCACAGTATTTCGCCTATATTTGTCTATTTTTAGTATATTTATTCATATTCTTGGTCTTAATAGCTACAAAATGGCCATCTTCTCGTTTCGTGAAATATAGGATTGAAACCTTTTTTTCTGCAGAATCAGTGCGTTTTTACAAATAAATTATCATCGATATTTACCTAGATAAAATTTGGAGTAATTATAATTAAAAAAAATTATATTTTTCGAAAGACCTATCAAGTTTTCTAATTTTTCGAAAAGTTTTTGGTTTCTAAAATACCATTCGATCATCCCGGTTACCAATCAGTAGTTTGATTGGTCAGTCCGACCTGGTCTGAATTTTTTTCAACAAGTTTCAACTATAACGGTTACATTTGTCATCAGAATTATAAACTTATCCAGAAAAAGTATGTGTCCAAAAAAAATGGGAAAAAAGCAGTAAGGAATTTTCTCTTGTTTTTAACCGATCTAACGGGTGGCGCAGAAATAATGGGGCACTTTTGTTTTCTATCTTTGAGGCACTTAACAATCATTTTAAAATCTATTTCTGAGATCATTTGATAGAGAATTCATTTTTCTACAGAACTGTTTAATGCGTTTCTCAAATTAGTCTTTCTTGTGGGCACAAAATTTCAAAGATTAGCACCTACTCGATAGTTCATCTGCGAATTCTTATTTTTTCCGGATATCAATCGATTTGATATCCGTCTATGCTCATCAAGACCAATGCTCAAACCAAAGTATTTAACATCAATAGATAGAGAATTTTGTGCTCTATAGTTCCACAACCGTTTCAAGGTTCTTGGTGCTCTTGTTAACGAGAAAAAGGCTTCGAATTAACACCTAGTGCAATTTTTGGACGCATTTCAGGAAATAATGTTTTTCCAAGCCAGACTTGGCATGTGAAACGCTGATTTTCATACCATCGTATGCAGAATGTAATTCTAAACAAAATGGTATAAATTGTGACTTCAATAGTGAAATCGTTTTGGCTGTTTCGAATTAAAACAGAACAATGTCATAGGCCTGTCCGAAAATAGTTTTTTTTGGTGTTTTCACATTTTCCACTTCAAAATTTTTCCTCTCAAATATTTATTCTAAAATTTTGAAAATTACATCGAAAGGTGCAGAATTTGATGTAGAATTTCGTAGCACACTTGAAATTTTAGCAGAATCATTTAAAAATATCTTCATAAATTTTTTCCTTTTTTTGGCCTTCGCAGATGGACTTTTGAGTAGGTGTTAATCTTTGAATTTTTACGCCCGCAAGAAAGACTAATTTGAAAAATGCATTAGGCAATTTTATAGAAAAATGAATTCTCTATCGAATGATCTTAGAACCAGATTTTACAACGATTGTTAAGTGCCTCAAAGATAGAAAACAAAAGTGCCCCGTTATAGATCTCTGATGTTTCGCCAAAAGACAATTCGCCATGGCGAAACGTCGCATGATTTTTCGCCATGACGAATTGTCTTTTGGCGAAACGGTTTTTTACCATCTTTGGTGTACTTTTTTACGGTAAAATAGCTGATAGTTAATTTCCTCTAACAGGTTTTTCGTAACAGTCTTTTACAAGACTTTTGTAACGAAATGTATACTTGCTTTTCAAGTTGAAATGATTTGTGGTTGTACTCATTCACGTTCACTGTTTCTATCTGTCTTCTCTTTCATTTACAATAAGAAGTACCATTCGTTACGAAAGTCCTGTAATACAGCATTATCATATATGTCTGGGATAAAAAGTACATATAGATTCCGTTGCGAAAGCTGTGTAAAAGATTCTTACGAATGCCCTGTCAGAGCATCTACTAGAGATTAATTCCTTGCATTATCATTACGATATTACCCTGCTAATAGTGTTACGAAGGCCCTGTAAAATCAGGTACGAAAGTCTTGTAAAATAAGGGTTTTCGAAACGAAAGCTCTGTTATTTTTTTAGGAGGAAAGCCCTGTAAAAAAAGAGGGGTCTGGATGAAACGTCACCAGTCTTTGACGTTTCGCCGAAAGACAATTCGCCTCCCTCGAAACCTTCCTTGAAATATATATTTTCAAACAAACTAACAAATAGCTACCAACATAGAATCTTGAGAAAAAAAAATAGAAATGCAGCGTTTTTATTCTAATACAAATAAACATGACAACGATGTCACAATAAAAGACATAGGGGAATAAAATAAATATTGAAATAATACTGCATTTTATCTAATTCAACTTAGTGAAAGAACATCTGTTCTTAAAAATAAAGATAAGTTTTCCACTTCTTTCCTCTTTGAAAAGTTTTCCCTATAGTCAAACGACATTTTCTTTACATGTGAATTATCACAACTTAAATGACGATATCTAAGTCGAGTTAGGGCTTAAAAATGAGTAGACTGAAAAAAAATTTACGGTGTTGTAATCATTTGTTGACGAAATGTTCCAATTGGCGAAACGTTAGATGACATTTCGCCATGGCTAATTGTCTTTTGGCGAAACGGTTTTTTACCCCCGTTATTTCTGCTCCACCCGTTATAATTAATCTATCTCTTTAAAAGAAATTACAAGTAACTTCATCACTCTATAACCACAGAGAATGTTTCTTTCATTATTCTAGGTTTATTTTGTGTTTATTTTGAATCAAAATATTTTTCTATACGTCGAAAATTTATACTTGATACTGATTATTATCTAACAATAAAACACAATCGTTTACAACTCTATCAAAACAACGAAAACAATTCATTTGTTGTATTCGCTTACAACGATGATATTAATAATTATGTTATCAGTGTTGATCTAAGACGTTTTAAACGTGATATTTTAACACTTAATCGTCATCCAACTGTAAGAAAACAAAATTATCGTGAAATAGAAATATTTGTATTAGCTGATGATTACGATTTGAATTCAAGCTATTATCCAGTCATTACATTTGATGATGAATATTATAAAGAAAATTATTTTAATACTCAGATTGATTCATATGAATACATTGAATATACATCTGAACAAGATAAACGACAACAGGAAAAAACTGAAAAAGAAATAAATGAACATAATGAAAAACTAAACCAATTAAAATTTCGATATGAAAATTTTAATGAAAATACGGATGATGTTGAACAATTAATCAAAGATTTTATGGAAATATCTGATATTGAATATATTGAAAAAATTTGGATAAGATATGGAAACATTTTATCATCAGAAATATTTGAATATTTAATTGATTTAACAATTAAAACGTTAAATGGTTCAAGAATACGTCCAATTATTAATGAAAACTGGTTTTATGATCTTATTTTGAAATTGATTGATGATCATCGATGGAAAACGTTGAAACCAATAATTCATTTATTAATAAAAATAAATAAAATATCAAAAGATAAAAGTTGGCCGAATTATATTATTCATTTTGGAAGAGTTTTACAACGTTTATTCACAGAAAAAACTGAACAAATAAAATTAGGGAATAATGAGAACGAACTAAATGTTGATGATTTATTGTATGAAATACAATTATCAATTATTTTGGGAAATAATTTTAATAGTGATGAAATAAATTTAAATTTAATAAAAGAAATGGATTTATTTGATAGAATTATCCAGTTTAATTGTAAAAATGAACAATTATCATTAAAACAATTATGTCATTTAATTCCAGCATGTATCATGTGTTCTGATTTGGATGTATGTAATCGATTTGTTGAATATTTAAATGAAAAAACGACGATAACGAATAATACTCAAATAAATGAATATATTTTAACATTTTTATCAATATTAATCCGATCAACTGTATATGAAATGGATGAATTAAATCGTCGATTGAGAACAAAACGTGAAACATTGGAACGCGCTGGAGAGACACTGTTTGATTTAAGAGCACAATTACCAATTAGACGCTTACCAAAAACATTACAAAAAGAACAGGTAAACAATTTACGTGAGATTTCAGAAAAATAGACTATTATCGACGTCATAATTCAAGACACTCGGTCGTTTTCGAATAACTCAAAAACAATAAAAGATAGAGGTATGCGGTTTTCAGCAATCGAAAGACGATAGTTTAAGCTCTACTTTTACAAGCAAAATCATCTTTCGAAAACATTCGGAAGATCGGTTTTCTAAACGATCCTTAGAAAACCAGCTAAGATTTCTAGAAACCGACATAGTAATCTATCGTAGATAGATAGTCCGAAGTGCGCTCTACGAAATAAGATCTAAGCAAAAGTTTGATTTTGCTTGGTTCGGGCGCTACGGACTTTTGTCTGAACCCTTAGTACTGCTCCATGGCTTGGTTTAAACTGTCAGAAATGCATGAAAACATAGATTATCAATGCTGAATCTCCTGGCAACATTTGGTTTACAAAAAAGGTTCAAGAACCTAGTAAAGATCCAATCAAATTATGTCAGCATATCAAGATATACTCTATTTTACCTGCTCCAAACGATTTTTTACTTGAGAATAGTAAAAAACATTCTTGTACTTCGGAAGATTTCTAGAAAATCTCTTCAAAAACAAAGTATTTTGTGTTGATTTTTAAAGCTTTTGTTGAACTGCATAGTACTGAGCAGGTAAAATAGAGTACACTTGGTATGCTGACATAATTTGATTGGATCTTGGCTGAGTTACGAATTTTTTGATTTTACTCAAAAATAGGTAAAAATGGGATATGTCACCTAATATACGTTTCGATCTCTAACGCTTCGCCAAAAAACGATTTGATAAAAGACATTTCGCCATGGCAAATTGTCTTTAGGCGAAACGGTTTTTTTTCGAATGGATGAGTTTTCCACTTGTTTCCTCTTTAAAATGTTTTCCCCATAGTTAAGCGACATTTTCTTTACATATGTATTATCATAATTTAAATCACGATACCTAAGTTGAGCTAGGGATTAAAAATGAGTGAGATTCTGAAGTTAACTTAGCTACTAATAAAAATTTACGGTGTTGTAACGATTTACTGGCGAAATGTCATCTACCATTTCGCCAATTGGCGAAGCGTCAGATGACTTTCCCCATGGTGAATTGTCTTTTGGCGAAACGGGCTTTTACCATACGTTTTTACTAGGTTTTTGAACCTTTTTTGTAAAACAAATGTTGCCACGAGATTCAGCATTGATAATCTGTGTTTTTATGCATTTCTGACAGTCTGAACCTAACTATAGAGAAGTCTTAAGGGCTCGAAAAAAAAGTCCGTAGCGCCCGAACCAAGCAAAAGCAAACTTTTGCTTAGATCTTATTTCGTAGAGCACACTTCGGACTATCTATCTATAAAAAAAACGATAGATTACTATGTCAATTTCTAGACATCCGAGCTGGTTTTCCAAGGATCGATTAGAAAACCGATCTTCCGAATGTTTTCGAAAGACGATTTTGCTTGTGAAAGTAGAGCTTAAACTATCATCTTTCGATTGCTGAAAACCGTATATCTCTATCTTTTATTGTTTTTGAGTTATTCGAAAACGACCGAGTGCCTTGAATTATGGCGTCGATAATAGTATTAAGTAGTATAGACATAAAAATAGCCTGTATTCGAACTACTATCGGTTCCAAAATATAATCCATGTGGTTGTTTTTTGAATAACTTAAAGACGGTAAAAGAGAGACTTACCGTTTACAGTTATCAAAAGAAGACAGTTTAGCTTTTATTCTCAGAAGCAAGCCGTTTAAACACCGGTCTTCTCGGAGATTTTTGAAAAACCAGTTCGAATCTCGAAAAACTGAGATACTTACCGTTCTTTTGCATAGATGGATAGACTACAGTGTCCACTTCAAAATGAGAAGTAAGCGAACTCTTAATTTTTCCTGATTCAGCTGCGGCATCGGATTTCCTGAGAGTCTCAGTATCAATATTCTCTTAGGCGTGGTAGTTCCAAAAACGGATGAAAACATCGGTAATCGACTACGCTGAATCTTGTGGCAACATTTGTTTCTCAAAAAAGTTCCAAAACTCTATTGAGAACTCATATTAGGTGAAACAATCAAAATGTACTCTATTTTACCTGCTCAATACTATGCAATTCAACAGAAGCTTTAAAAACCATCAGAAAATACTTGGACTTTTGAAAAGGTTTTCTAGAAATCGAGGCTGGAGGAATGGAGGCTCAAAACTTGGATTTACAGGTTTTCACACATGTTGAACAAGATAGGACTAGTTAGAAGCAAATCTGAGACATTGATTGAGCATGACTTGTTGTTTCTCTCATGCAATGGCTCTTAGACGAAATCTCCCATTTTTTGAGCCAACCAGCCCTATCTTGTTCAACATGTGTGAAAACCTGTAAATCCAAGTTTTGAGCCTCCATTCCTCCAGCCTCGATTTCTAGAAAACCT